GCTTTATGTACTAAAAAATGAAAAAGAAAACCAAGACAGAACCAGACTCTTAGATATAGAGGAAAAAGCGATAGTTGCTACATGAGTGGGGGTGGGAAGATGGATGAAATAGGTGAAAGGAAATAAGAAGTAAAAATTTCAGTTATAAAATAAGTCATGGGGATGTAATGTACAGCATAGTTAATATAGTCAATAATATCACAATAAGTGTGTACAGTGACAGATAGTTACTAGACATATTGTGGTGAATACTTTATAAGACATATACATGTAGAGTCACTATGTTGTACACCTGAAACTAATATCAAATTGTATATCAAAATACTTTAATAAAAATATTAGAACACTACCAACCACTGTCACCATAATTTTATTTTTCTAAATAGTATCTTAAAGCCAAGATTTGGGAAGGCAGGATCACAAAATTCAGTTTAAATTAAATATATTTAGTTTTAGAAAAACTCACTGGCTCTCAAAATTTAAATTAAATATGTTCAACATTAGGAAAAACTCATGTCCTTATTTCATTTAGGACTAGGATGACCAACCATTCCAGTTTGCCTGGGACTAAGGAGTTTCCTGGGATATGGGACTTTCAGTGATAAAACTAGGAATGTCCCAAACTTGAATGTCCCTCTAGGACTAGAGGGGTGGTGAACCAGCACCGCCCATGGACAGCAGGTTGAAATCACTGTCACACTTGATTTGCAAATGTTCTCTCTGCAGGATTCAAGCAATACTAGTAAGAGTTAAAAGTGATCACAGAATTAAACAATGGAGGGATAAAGCCTATATATTTTGAATGTAAACCTTTGTGAATCATAGACTTGACCTTATGCAGTCAAGGAAGAGATCTCAGAGATCCAATGGCTCAGTGTTTTCTGAACACAAAATAATCCCCAGCCCAGCTTCTTCTATGGCTGGATAGAGAAGCAATGGACTGTGTGGAGTCTGTGCATGCTCATTGATACCTGTGTCAGATAGAAAAGTGCATTCAAGTAAATGCTTTTAGTTCCTGCATAATCTGCAATGGAGTAACTTCCCTTTGTCCCTCCAAAGCAAACCAAATTTATTCACAGGAACTAGCTAAGTCTTTGCTCTCACATAAATAAAAATCACCCTGGCTGGTGTTGCTCAGTGGCTAGAGCCTTGGCCTATGCACTGAAAGGTCTCAGGTTTGATTCCTAGTCAAGGGCATGTACTGGGTTGCAGATTCTATCTCAGGCCCCAGTTGGGGTGCATGGGGGAGGCAACCAATTGATCTGTCTCTCTCACATCAGTGTTTCTCTGTCTTTCTCTATCTCCCTTCCACCCTCCTTACCACTCTCTCTAAAAATCAATGGGTAAAATATCCCCAGGAGAGGATTAACCAAAAAAATAATTTAAAAAATCACAAATAATTCTATGCTTCTTTATATCTTTATTCTTCTTGTATATTTCATGTATGCAATAGCTTTGTTTCCATGTCCTAGAATGTCTAGCTACACTGGATTTCAGAAATCAGGAATTCACAATGTGGTTATGCTAATTGGCCCAGTAACAAGGTATTAATAGATTTGTTATTGACCCTCTCTCTTTGGTGTTACATGGTCCCTCATATATTAGTTTGTTCATCACCTAAATGGATTACATGCCTGTTTCTGAGAGTGGTTATATGAGAAGCAGTGAGAGTGGCCAGAAAGTTGTAACAACCAGGGTGAAAGCATAAAATCTGTTCCGAATTTACTATTCTTACTAAAGACTACTGTTTACTGCTTTGGAGATATGGTAGTTATTCTAACACAGATCATGGGTAGAGATCACTTCAAACTATATGAGTCAGGAAACCCACCTAACCTGTTTATGTCAAATGGTTGCTTTTAAAGAACTCTAAAGAAAAAGGCTACATTTTTTTTTTCTCAGAAGCTTAACAATTCTCACTGTCAAGAATTATTTATGTCTCATTTTAAACATTTTCTGCTAAAATTTATGACAATTCCTTTGGTCAGGTCCTCAGAGGGAATGGAGAACAGGTTGGCCAATCTCCTCCAGATGAGAGCTCTTCATCAACTATGATTGCTGTAGCTTACTGTTGGCACTCTTCCCCCAAAATGAGTATTCTAACTCTTCCTGTGGTGACTCATTGCCCAGTCTTTAATCATTTGTTCTTACCTCTGCACTCTTGTGTGTACCTACTCACTGTGGGCACTTATTTAGTGTCAGTAAAACTGGAAGTATTGCTCTTATATTTTTCTTGGTGAAGAAAAACAAACCAAATCATTCCTCTACCTAGCCTCCTCCCCAGTCCCCACAGAAGAAGACTAAAAATCCTTTTGTTCCCACTTGAGCTTGCCATACAACTTCTGAGTTAAAGAAAGCAATACCTTACCAAGGGCCCAGGCAAAACAGCCAGCAAATTAATGACCAGAAGATGAAGTGGTCAGAAAGGGAGTCTCTGATATGCAGCTGCTGAGGAAAACATGGCTATAAGATGGCTGGTTCAGACTGGTCTGCAAGGAGCTGCTTTGTTGTCACTGATTTTGGCAAAGAAATATGAACAGGCCTTTCTACTCACGCCCCCAGATAGTATGCATTGCCTACGTGCCAACCCTGTTACAAATACTCAGTGTTGAGACTTCCCTAGGAAATGAGCAAGATAAACAGGCATATGTTTCCAGTGCACAAATAGAGTCCTGTTCCAGAAAAATGTCTTTGCCCAATGTGCCTCCTTGTGTCAAGTTGGGTATATAAGTAGCCTGTTTCAGACACAACCTCAAACGAGATCTATTTCTACTTCCCAATAATTTCTCTCTTCACTTACTGCCACCAGAGTCCCTTGGAAGTTCCTCCTTCTCTGTGTATCTTCACAAAGAGAGTTGCCTCAGGTTCTGCTTTGCCTGAAATCATATCATGATGTAGCTACACCAAAGGCTTTATTTCCCATTTGTATATCCACAACTTTCTGAAGAACACCTCACTTTTTTCAAGCTTTTTTGAGGTACAATTGCTATATGAAAAATATGTACATATTTAAAATATACATCTCAATGAGTTTAGACATATGCCTATATCTATAAAACCATGAACACAATTAAGGCACTAAACATATTCATAACCTTCAAAAAGTTCTGTGTGTGTGTGTGTGTGTGTATTAAGAGCACTTAACATAAGATCTATCCTCAACGTATTTTAAAGTACACAACACTGTATTATTAACTATAGACACAAAGTTAAACAGAAGATCTCTAGAATTTATTCAATGGCCTAACTAAAACTTTGCACCCATTGAGCAACAATTCCTCATTTTCTCCTCCACCAAACCCCTGGCAACCATCATTCTACTCTTCTCTGCTTAAGAAGACCTCACTTTTAATTTAAGCCTTATCTTTCAAATTCCTCAGCTTTCATACTTGCTATCCTCTTTCTAAGCTTTTTCCTTCCTTCTTTCATTTTTTCCTAGGGTATAAAGACTAGCAAAACTAACTGCGTTGGACTTGTTTATTTATTTATTTTCATATTTTCATCCTGAGGTGGGGGTGATCACAAGCAGTTAAGGCATTAGAAGACAAGAAGCGAGAGAGTAAATAGAGAGAGAGGACCATCGAGTCATTGACAACCTATAAGGTCAATTACAAACAATCAAGTTGGCCATGCAGAGATGAAGAGAGTCCATAACACAATGGAATACTACGCTGCGGAAAAAAAGAAGGAATTCTTACCATTTGCAACAGCATGGATGGAATTGGAGAACATTATGCTAAGCGAAATAAGCCAGTCAGAGAAAGATAATTATCACATGATCTTAATATCTTCATAAATAAAGAAAAACACACAAAAAATTTAATGAAAGCATTTGACAATTTTACTTAAAAAACACACAGGGGAAAAAAACAACCCTCCAGCTTGGCCAGCATGGCTCAGTGGTTGAGTGTCAACCTATGAACCAGGAGGTTAAGGTTTGATTCCTGTTCAGGGCACATGCCTGGGTTTCTGGCTGGCTCCCCAATGGTGGGTGTGCAGGAGGTAGCCAATCAATGATTCTCTCTCATCATTGATGTTTCTATCTCTCTCTCTCCCTCCCTCTCCCTTCCTCTCTAAACACAACAAAAATATTTTTTTAAATAAGAAAGATCCTCCATATCAGGCCCTGAGCTATTCTCTTGCTCTAGAGTCTGAGGTTAGAAAAGTAGGGATTAGAATGATGTCTCTAAATTTCATATGACCTTCTCCCTTCCATGAAAAAAAAAATGCTGTTCATTGAGCTTCTGCTTTGGAAAGTAGGGTGCCAATTGGAGATCTTCTCAGTTATTACTCTGGATTGACAGGTACCACTATTTTCAGTGCTTAATTGATTGGCTAGGAGTGTCATACCCTATACAAGTTAGAAACTATTCCTATAGGCCTACTTTGACAAGACATTGTTAAGCACTATCAGCAATGAGCTAACTGGTAAACCATCTACTCACTTGTTTAAGCTCTAGCCCCAGCTCTGCTATTATTATTGGCCCAGTAGTCCCTCTAACCATGGCCTCAACTGGGAATAAAATGCCATCACAGTTAACCACCTCCATTCAGTGAACCTGGACAGTGTAGGAAGAAGGTGAGCTAATGCTTCTCCGACCACTTCAGCAGACATGAGAGGCAGCATGGCATATTGACTGTTTCTCAGAATGGGGCTCTAGACCCTCTGCACCAGAATCACTTTGAATGCTTATTCAAAATGCAGAGTATTACATTCCTTCTCATATTCACTAAATTAGAACTTATGGGATTTGCATTTTTTTAATCCTCAGTTGATTCTGATGGGAACTAATGATTGAGAAATACTGTTTTAGTGGAAAAGAGCCAAGAGTTTGGAATCAGATCTGGTAGAGTCTTGAGGTCTGTCCCTTATAGGTTCTATGAACTTGAGAGGATCACTTAAAACCTCTGAGGTTCAGTTTCCTCTATAAAATGAGATAATAGAATGTAAAGTTAGAGTGAAATAATATCTGTGGTCAACCTAACACTAGGATAGCTGTCAATTCTCCCCTCTACCAGAGAATACTCCATTTCGCATAAGTATCAGAGAAGACTTGAGGTCATCTAAGAAGTAGAAAATCACTCTCCTCCCCCTCTGTTTCCCCAAACACTCTAAGTAATTTCTCCTCACTCCTAGTCTTCGTTCTGCTTTCAGTTTTTCACCACAAAATGGAAACAGTTGGCCCAGTGTTCTTTCAAGAACGGATTTATAGTTAAACTATCTCAGGTTTTCTGGAAGTCATCATGCTTGGCACATAGTTAAGAACTCACAAATATTTACTGAGTGAATGCATTCTTTTATTTCTAGCCTCGACTGATTTCGACATCTGCATTTCAGTTTAACGCCATTAACCCATTTCAGTCTCATAGCCCCAGTTTAGGCAAGTCTAAGAGATCAACCCCAGCACATCAGCAAACCAGATCCGCTTTTACTTCCACAGACAAGTCAGAACAAAATCCCTCTATCCACTCCCAGAGACATGCACTTCCTCTCCTCAAGTTACCAATTCTTCTGGGGAAACCAACTAGCATTTAACCCTTAGGTCCTCAAACCACGTCAATATGAAATAGGAACCAAGCCCTGATTCCGTTTAGCCTCTGTGCAAACAACAAACTATGTGGAAGCAAAAATGTACCAGGCTGCCTTTGGGAAGAAACAGCTTCTCTGAGCTGTGAGATGAAAGGACGGGAAGCCTGGGAAAGGAAGGGGAGGAGGAGGCTGAGCAAGGGGAGAGCAAAGCAGTTTTTATCCAGCTGTTTCAATTGCATTTGGCCCAAGCTGCAAATTTACCTTCTGGCCACGAAGGCTGATTGACTTGTTTCCTCTCTTCAAACTCAGATCTGAGAAACAACTTCTCCTTACAGCTTGTCAGAAGGGGATGGGAATCCCAGCTGCTCTTTGCAGGGTTGCTTGAAAACCCTGCTTTACCTTTGGGAGAAAGGGGCGGAGTCCAACCTAATGGGAATTAACTCCAAACACGCTGGAGGCTTCAATCCAGCCTGAGACATGCAGGCACTTGATTTGGCTTAACAGGCAATGAGTCTCCCCACCCCCATGCTCACAGCTGCCAAGTCAGCTGTGTGTGTGTGTGTGTGTGCACGCCCGTGTGTACAGGAGTGCCCACATAACTGTCTCACTTCTGCATCTGCTGCCCGAATGCCTGCTGAGGAATAGTGGTTCTCCCTAACTTTCCCCCAAAGCCCTAAACTATCTCCACTATACATATTGAGTAGCAGATATATGTGCATGGAAAAGACTCAGAAAACACATGCCTGAACTGAGTAAAACAGAATAACCTCTTTTCCCAAAATAATTTCCACTGTCTAATGGGTAAGGCACTCCAACAGAGAAATTTATGGCTCCAAAATGTAACAAGTTCACATTTAAGAAACCAAAAATCACACACTGAGAAGGCTTAATAATACATTTTCTAAAAAATAGCAGTACTGCCAAAAGGCAGTGTCTAACTTATCCCAAAACATCAATAACTGCTTTAGTGCTTGGGAAAGGAGCTGAGAGGTCTAGAGATTAATGAAGCTTTGCCTGACACTCTGCTCCAATGTAATTTCATCTCTCCCACCTATGAATGTCCCTGACACGCCATACTTATTTTGGGAAACTTATCACTTTCTACCTTATACTAGTATTCGTGTGTGTGTGTGTGTGGGGGGGGGGGGTCAGGTGCGTTTTGTTTGTTTGTTTGTTTGTTTGTTTTTTTGTTTGTTTGCATATGTGTCTCATTTCCTGGATACCTTGTGAACAGATAACTTTGCTGAACAAAATGAGTTGGAAGGATAAAGGGCAACTAGGTTAACTTAAAACAACATTCAAGATTGATCCAAAGTAACTTTGCTTCTATAATGGCCCACTTCCTTTCCCAGAATGCTATAAAGGTTATCAGGCCTGTTTTCTAGAATTTTGTGGCAATAATTTAAAATGTGAACTAGCAGTTTAACACATTCACTGTATCCTGATTATTTTATGAGTTAATGTGTTTCTTCTCAAGCAAGCATCCTGTCTTTTATCCGTGATATAGCCTTATATCCATGCATGCGTACATTTGTCAGCCTTGCTATTATTGATCATCAGTTTTTAAGCACTTTTTACTTCCCCTACACACTGATAAACCACATTCCCATCTATGATAATGGCTTACTATGCAGTTTTTTGGGGGGAGTGAGAGAGGACTCCTTAAGTGGAATGTCAGACTTTTGACAGTGTAATCTCCTGAGATAACTTTATAATTTCTCAGTTGGTGTACCCTTAAGAATCACTGCTTCAGATATAGGGCTATGTAAAGAGAAATGTCAAACCCTCTCACAATAAAAATAAGTCAATATTAGAGGAAACCAAGATGGTGGCACAGGTAAATAGCTGAAATTTCTGCCTTGCACAACCACTTCAAAAATACAACTAAAAGACAAAACGGACATCACCCAGAACCACAGGAAGACTGGCTGAGTGGAAATTCTACAACTAGAAGGAAAGAGAAAAGCACACTGAGACTCAGAGGAGGTGCAGATGTAAAGTGCAGAGGTATGGAGGCGCACGCAGAAAGGGCTGGCAATTAAGGACAAGGTTGTCTTTTTCAATCAGGAGGGAGACAAAAGCTCCTGACTGCTATGAACTCCAGTTACAGGCAAGTCTCTGGGGACCCAGACTCATATGGGGAGAAACTGGTCTGTTTGGCATAGGGCAGAACTCTAGGGCGGCTTTCTCTCAGAGGTGCTTGCAGTGACTACTGTGAGACTCTGAGACCTGGGGCCTCTTAGGGCAGGGCTGAGGATCAGCCATAACTGTTTTCTCTGCCCTGTTGATTTCCTGAGACCCCACCCCACCCAAGCTGATCTCAGAGACTTTTGCATATGAATGGCCTGGCCCTGTGCAATCTAAAATTACCTAACAAACTGCAGCTGGGTCAGAAAAAGAAGGCCCAAGGCCCCATAGCAGCTTGTATTGAATCACAGCTGGGCCTCATCTGGGCACCTCCAAATCCCAAAGGAGAGGAATCTGTATATCTCTCCATAGCTCCTGCTGGGTACCTCAGGCAGAGGCTAAACTAGCACCTCCTTAGAGATCCAAGAGCCAGTGTACCCAGTGGTCAGAGTGGGACCATCCAGATTACAACTCCTCAGATCCGTAAGGGACACACTCAGGGGGCAGACTCAGTGAGCACCAAAGCCCCACTGAAGCACGTCTTGCCCCAGAAGGGTGTCTTCAGCACAGAAGA